AGAGAAGAGAAGAGAAGAGAAGAGAAGAGAAGAAAAGAAAAGAGAAGAAAAGAGAAGAGATGAGAAAAGCGGCGGGACCGAATATTGAACAGTCTTCACTTAAACTCAAACAAGAATTTGTTTGCTCACTTAGTAAATCCTACCAGATTATTTTTGTATACCTACAATTTACCATGGTTCTACCGACGGTAGATAATTCCTTTGATAAATCTATGCAAGCAATTAGCCGCTTTTAAGGATAGTTTACCAAATGAACAGTTTTTTAAGTGAACATGACGTGTTAGGAGAGATTGAGGTATCAGCTATCAATGTTTTTGACAGGTCGACTCTATGTTTCCTGTTTACCTATACTTCACCCTAAAAAGCGGCTGCTTTATAAAGGCAAATTGGAGAGTGGAGCAATCACAATCATTTTACAACCTCTCGAACCTTGAAGGAAGCGACCAGTACCACAAGAAATGAAGAACCTGCAAAATATCTTAGCATTCTTAGGCGTCTTTATAGTTTTCTGCTCTTGGATTTCCTTTTCACAAGGTAAGGACTTCTAACTGGCAAGCACCAAACTTTTTGGGGCAAAAGTTGAGGGTTAATTATAATCAAAACGAAATTTCATTCTCTCCTAAAAAGGGGTTTTAAAATTTAATAGAAAAGTATTTATATGTTTTTTTGTTTTCCATATATGCCGAAGTTACATATAAAACAAAAATCATGTCTTAATTATACATTATTTTTATCTTTTGTTTTCGGTTTATGTCGTTATTTATTTTCAATTTAGAAGTTTCAAATTTCTTTCTTTTTATCTYGTGAATGTGAAAAGTCGCTTTTTGATGTTTAAATTGACGCTTGAATTTCGATTTCATGGCTGAATCGGCTTACATATTAAACAAAAACAAAAACCAAAAAAAAAAAAAAAAAAAAAAAAAAAAAAAAAAAAAAAAAAGAAAAAAAAGTGACAAAATGACAAAAAAAGAAAGTCTAGCTCCATGACAACGACTCCTTCAGTTTTGTGGCTCCTCGTTTTCACTGACATTATAACTAAATATGTATTTAATTGCCAGCCTTTAAAAAAGACTTCAAAGTTTATTGAACCCTGAAACAATCCCTTGTATAAACTGATCAAAGGTCATGGCGAAGTCAGGGCACGGCTAACTCATAGTTTCAGATTAGAATTTATAGCATGTTGATTTTTTGGGGAAAACCGGAAAACACAGGAGAAAACCCCTCTCAAGGGAGAGACCTAACAAACTCTACTCACATGTGATGCTGAGTCCAGGAATCAAACTTTTAACCCCAGAGGTGAGAGGCGAGTGCACTACGTACGACTACGCCACCTCGATTCCTATCTATTCTAGAT